TCTGTACATGTTTGATCCACTCAAAGATTTTTTGTCAGGGCTGACATGACATAGGCAGGACTACAGCTTCACCAATCACATTTTCCCAAACGACATGATGTCAGAGAGTTTGACAGGAAGTCTATTGTTGTCCACTCCCTTTTCCCCTTCAGTTTTCAAGCCAGACTTTCTCACGCCTTAATATTTACAGTTCATCTATTGTGGGATCTTTTTCTGTGTGTGTGGAAAGAAAATATAAACAGCATGTGAATGTACCTATAACTTCCGTCCTTGTCTCAAAAGGCTTTTTCTCCTTTAGCTGCACGTATAAAAAGATATCTAATGTGAAGGTTAACACATCGTTTAGAAGGCTTACCAACTTCTCACACATTCTCTCTCTCCATGTTTTGCATCAGATTACTTTTACAACCTCATTAAAAACACATCAAGATATGAATTGAAGGCCATCAATAGTCTTGCAGGAAGTGCAGTCTCCTCACTGCACTTGAACTAACTTCCCTTCTGAAATATATCAGCAGCATATAATATTTCTCTTGAGACCTGCAGGGTGTCTGTGGGTCATATTACAGTGACTTTATCGTACTGTTGGGTATTTTCTGTTTCCTATGATGTCATGCAATTCCTGTAAAGTGTACTAGATTATGATGTAGCCTGGGGGGATGAATGACTCGAGAGTTTCACTAATTAAATTGCTATTCTTGCAACCAGCTATTGCGGAAGGGCCTGCTCCTATTATTAGTTATTTCCTCTCACTTTATTTCATGCATAAGTAATGTGCAGTGATAATTTGGAGAGTGCTGTTGTGATGTAGACTTATAGCTAATGCACAGATGTGCACACAAACAGTCTGTTTTAAATTTAGACTACAGTGGCCGATTACCAATATATCAAAGCTCCCTTCCTGACGTGTTTTAAGATGTAACATGCATTTGTTTAATATGTTTAGGCATACCTATTCTCTCTCAACAAACTGAATACGAAAAAATGTTTAGTTCCAAAAGTTTAAGTTCTATTTTCCTTACAGATCCGGTCTAATATGTGCACATGAGGCTTTACATGTCTGCACCACACTTGTGTAAGTTGCATATTTGACCACATTTTGCTTCCAAACTTGCAGTGATGTCACAAAGGCATGCTTGTAAATGCATTTCTTAAACTGAGACTTAAAGCAACAGTTACACATTTTTGGAAATAACCTTATTTGCTGTGGGTTAGATGGGAAATTGATACTTCTTTCATATTTGTTTATTGAAGGTCTAGTTTGTAGCCATGGATGGATTACTGAACTGGCCAACTGGGCACCAGCCGAGGGGCCTTTACCTGCAAAATATTAATTGAAGAAACCCGTACCAACCAAGAAGAGATTCAAAATGGTCACAAAGAGACACAAAATGACTACAAAAGAATGTAAACAACTACAAAGAGGCACAAAATTACAGAGAGATGCGCATCGAATATGAAGAGATGCGAAACAGCCACAAAAAGACAGGAAGTGTGCTGGGCTTTGAGACAATTTTCGTAGTGGCCATACAGTGGAATTACAACTCCCTTGTCACGTGATGCCACTGGGCCCAAAAAGACTTTTCCCCATAGACCTACAGTACAGGCCAAAAGTTTGGACACACCTTCTCATTCAATGCGTTTTCTTTATTTTCATGACTATTTACATTGTAGATTCTCACTGAAGGCATCAAAACTATGAATGAACACATGTGGAGTTATGTACTTAACAAAAAAAGGTGAAATAACTGAAAACATGTTTTATATTCTAGTTTCTTCAAAATAGCCACCCTTTGCTCTGATTACTGCTTTGCACACTCTTGGCATTCTCTCCATGAGCTTCAAGAGGTAGTCACCTGAAATGGTTTCCACTTCACAGGTGTGCCTTATCAGGGTTAATTAGTGGAATTTCTTGCTTTATCAATGGGGTTGGGACCATCAGTTGTGTTGTGCAGAAGTCAGGTTAATACACAGCCGACAGCCCTATTGGACAACTGTTAAAATTCATATTATGGCAAGAACCAATCAGCTAACTAAAGAAAAACGAGTGGCCATCATTACTTTAAGAAATGAAGGTCAGTCAGTCCGGAAAATTGCAAAAACTTTAAATGTGTCCCCAAGTGGAGTCGCAAAAACCATCAAGCGCTACAACGAAACTGGCACACATGAGGACCGACCCAGGAAAGGAAGACCAAGAGTCACCTCTGCTTCTGAGGATAAGTTCATCCGAGTCACCAGCCTCAGAAATCGCAAGTTAACAGCAGCTCAGATCAGAGACCAGATGAATGCCACACAGAGTTCTAGCAGCAGACCCATCTCTAGAACAACTGTTAAGAGGAGACTGCGCCAATCAGGCCTTCATGGTCAAATAGCTGCTAGGAAACCACTGCTAAGGAGAGGCAACAAGCAGAAGAGATTTGTTTGGGCCAAGAAACACAAGGAATGGACATTAGACCAGTGGAAATCTGTGCTTTGGTCTGATGAGTCCAAATTTGAGATCTTTGGTTCCAACCGCCGTGTCTTTGTGAGACGCAGAAAAGGTGAACGGATGGATTCCACATGCCTGGTTCCCACTGTGAAGCATGGAGGAGGAGGTGTGATGGTGTGGGGGTGTTTTGCTGGTGACACTGTTGGGGATTTATTCAAAATTGAAGGCACACTGAACCAGCATGGCTACCACAGCATCCTGCAGCGACATGCCATCCCATCCGGTTTGCGTTTAGTTGGACGATCATTTATTTTTCAACAGGACAATGACCCCAAACACACCTCCAGGCTGTGTAAGGGCTATTTGACCAAGAAGGAGAGTGATGGAGTGCTGCGGCAGATGACCTGGCCTCCACAGTCACCGGACCTGAACCCAATCGAGATGGTTTGGGGTGAGCTGGACCGCAGAGTGAAGGCAAAGGGGCCAACAAGTGCTAAACACCTCTGGGAACTCCTTCAAGACTGTTGGAAAACCATTTCAGGTGACTACCTCTTGAAGCTCATGGAGAGAATGCCAAGAGTGTGCAAAGCAGTAATCAGAGCAAAGGGTGGCTATTTTGAAGAAACTAGAATATAAAACATGTTTTCAGTTATTTCACCTTTTTTTGTTAAGTACATAACTCCACATGTGTTCATTCATAGTTTTGATGCCTTCAGTGAGAATCTACAATGTAAATAGTCATGAAAATAAAGAAAACGCATTGAATGAGAAGGTGTGTCCAAACTTTTGGCCTGTACTGTATATTAGAGAAGTAACGTCTGTAAATAAGCAGATACATTTTTTAGAGTCACAACCCCTGCGAAATGACTCGTTCCACTACAAGGATGAAATCAATTCTGTTTGATAACATTTAGAAAGTCTAGAAAAGCGGCATGATATTTTATCCCCACTACATTTAGCAAAGCACTAAACCCGAAGTAGGTGGCCTGGCCAGCAGAGGCCTCTGATGTACGTGCTCTATGGGCCCACTGATGCGTAAGCAGTGCTTATCATCCAGGTAATTTCATACTTTGGAAATAGAGCTTTTTTGGCTTCATGTGCCACTGAGCAACTTTCATAGGAATAAACGAGGTCCCGCCTCCAATGCTGTATCTAGGTGTCTCATTTATAAAACAGTGCATAGGATCCCCACTAAAATGTACATATGGACAAAGGCCAAAAATTTTAGACAGTTCCTACAATCAGGCTTCCACCTCACCATTTGCATCGCCAATTTCCTGTCTTCAAAATGTTTGTAAGCATGGGTCAAAGTTTCTCCCAGATCTCCTAGATCACAAATTTTCTGTGGAAAGTGGCATACGCCTCTTTCAGGCCTTGTTTTATGCTTACTCAGTGTTTATAAATGTGGACCCCTTAATTCATCCATGGTCTTTGCCCAGGGGCCCATTGTCTCCTAATCTGCCCATGGTGCGTCGGATTTAGTGGCATCTAGCTGAGAAGTTGTAGACTGCAACTAAGTGACACTTCTCCTGTAGATGAGCTACGGTGGCCAATGCAAAAACATGAATGTATCTCTAAATTGACTATCTAGAGCCAGTGTTTGGTTTGTCCGTTCTGGGCTACTGTAGAAACAAAATGGTGGACTGGTGGAGGAGGACTGGTTACATGTAGATATAAACGGCTCTTTCTAAGATAACGAAAACAAGATTCTTAGTTTCAGTTTACTATGCACGTATAAAAACAGAGTTATGACTATTATACACCACTGCTGCCAATATATCCTCCTAAATCCTACATACTGGACCTCGAATATAAAAATACAGCGGACTATTTCTTGGCTCTGAGCAGTTGCTAGGCGACCAAAGAAGACGACAGGAAGTTGCTAACGTAACTCCCAGCATAGAAGAAACAGTGACAATACACAGCCCAATAAAGTTGCGAATTGTTTTTTTATTTTATACCTCAGTTTTTTGTCATTATTACGCAAACAAGATATATAATATTAGTAAGTGAGTTTTATAAGCGCTTGTTCGCGGGTTATTTTGCCTTTTGGCGGAGCCGGGCTAGCTGTTTCCGATCGACAAGCTAAGCTAACCTTCTGCTAGCTTTAGCAAAGTTAGCTTTGTATTTAACTGCCGTTAACAGACAAATATCTCATCTAACTCTTGTCAAGAAGGCGTCTAATTTTTAGTTAAAGGTAAGACTAAACTTTGTACATAAAATTACATTAGCCTACACATTTCTTCACAGTGACTATTAAACATTAAAGTGAAATAATGTTAGCTAACGTTATATGAGCAATTTATATTTATTTTATGTGTAGGAATTTTAGTGTTAACGTTACATTGCAGTTGGTGTCCGTTATTTTCGTTTTACTTTATGCATATGGCCTCCTGTATTTCACAGCCCCCTCATGCCTCCTCCAGTTGCAAACTGACACTCAAAATGGTGATTTTCCTGTTTGATTTCCTATTTTTATGAATGAAGGCGGAGGTCGTGAGCTTTAGTCATTTTCTGGTGTTAGCCACCAGGGGGTAGAGCAACATGCAGAAAGAAAAGCCTTCAGTCTCTCTCGCTGTCCGGGGCTGTGCGTGTGTGTATGTGTCTCTCACAACATAAAGGCGACGTTCACGGCTTAAAACTTGCAATTCATGGCATGGAGGAGTCAGCGGGCAGCTGCAGCCCTCTGATCTGTGTAAGGTTAGGTGGTTTAGCAGCAGATCATGGTCTGAACCCAGTTATCATCGAGCCGAAGCAGAGCCTCGTCTAGCTGCTCGAGTGTTGTCCTCTTTTTTCTCTTCCCTGTCCTCTTTTTCTTCTCCTCGGTGAAATCCGATACAACATCAACGGGGTTTTATATCTAGTTTTGTCTGGCAGATTCAGGCTAATTGTCTTGCATGTTTCGCAGTCAAACAGCACCAAGAGAGAGGAAACATTCAGCTCGTACTGCAGCGATTCGGATGCCTTCAACTTTGAGCGAGAGGGACAACCCCTAAACCCCGTTTTTACACGAGGGACAGACACACAGACATCTCCGTCATCTTCCACTTCATGAGAAGGACGCGTCTCGGTAAAAGGTGATCAGAGAACCGACGGGGGACCATGGCAGCTACTTTATCAGTGGAGGAAGAACAGGTAGGCCCTGAACAGTCTTTATGCTTTACACTTCTTCCTTTCTGTGTCTCACAGCCCTGAGTGTTTCCAGCCTCGGCCCTATACCTGGAGGTATTTTGGCCCTGAGCATTGCGTGTGTGCGCACCGCAGCCAGTGGCGATGGCAGTGCGCAATGGATTTGTTGCGAAATGGTCCTGAATGCGGAGCGGAAATATTGGATCGATTTCTAGCGCTTTATTGCTCTCGTTACATCACTGTCAGTTCCTCTCCGGTGGCTGTTGAGCTCAAGTGTTGCGAAATAGGCCGAGCTCGCCTTTATCAGCCTCCACAGATGTAAAATAGTCATTCTGGGGTCTTAAGAGTTGTTCATTTGTGGGCACAGACCGTGATATTACACCGGGGAAGGGTTTTCGGGAGAGTTGGAAACGCTGTCTGGTTCCACATTTGGCTCCCCCGGGGAATGTATACAGTAGAAACTTGGTTTATACTGTCATGCCTGTAATGTGGCTTTGAAATACTGAGAGAAGTGACATATATTCACATATTTAATCCAATTCCAAGAATAGGAAACGCAAATTCCTTCTTTTTTTGGTCTTATCAAAGCCTACATGACTTTCACCCTACTTACTATAATGTGGGATGCTTTATGTAAGCCTAAAAAGCTGTAAACTTCATTTTGACAAGTTTACCTTTTTGTTACATCCCTCCATATAAAGATATTAGTATAAAAACTTAAAGTATACCATAGGCTTTTGATCTTACAGTTTTGTCAAGTCATCACATCACTTAGCTCTATGTTTTAAGTTGTATGTTTCATTTGTTTGCTATCAAAGTTAATTTAAAAGAAAACTAGGACTTTTTTTTTTTTTTGGACTTTTTTGTTAAAACTAAGAACGATACTTAAATGATTGCTCAAGTGTTGCAGACTAACTGATATCTGTTCATCAGTTGGGTGAATAATCATTTCAGCTCTATACGTGCTTTATGTCTCATGGATTCAGGCCCTGAAGACACACTTTCTTTTTGAATTAAAAGACGACATCTGAATCTTTCCAGTTAAACCCATATTGCTAAACTTGTATTAATTAGTGTACTTTAAATCCACAAAGTAGCAAGCACCTAGCTATGACTAATGCAGTCGAATACAACCTCAATGAAGGTTTTAATTGTTGAAACTGTTTGTGCTGATCGAACTTCATGGTCGTTTTGGAGGCTGTAGCTTTCTGTGCTGCTGCATTGTGTTGTGTCATACTGAGGAAGTGTCTATAATATTTTGTCCACCTCGTTTATATCAACGAGGGTAGATCACAAAGATGAATAAAAACCTCTCTAAAACAGTTTCTACAAAAACTGAACATTATAACCTTCATGAATGTAGGAGTCACTGCAGGACTGTTGTGTCTGAATCTTTCCAGCTAAACCAGGATTGCTAAACTTGTATTTATCAGTATACTCTAAATCTAGAAAGTAGCACGTCTATAACGTACATTTAGCTGTGACCAGTGAAGGTTTTAATTTTTTAAACTGTTGGTGCTGATCCAACTTTATGGTTATTTTGGAGGTTGTAGCTTTCTAATGTTTTGTCCAGCTCGTCTATATCAATGAGGATAGACCTTAAAGATGAATTAACACCTTTCTCAAACAAAAACTGAACATAATAACCTTCATGAATGTAGGATTCATTACAGGACTGTTGTAACAGACTTTATTAGTTAGGTGTCCCTAATATACTGGCAACTTAGTGGACACTATAGTATTAACCTTGGTTGTTTGACAAGCTGTACCAAACCATACAGAATCCAACACAAGCAAACAGACTGTAGTAACTGTTTCTGTGAGTTGTTCATTTTGCTCTTAACAGAAACAGGTACTGCAGGGAATTATAATCAAGTTTCTGTATCTAGATGTTGAATCTGTGTATGATTTTTTTCAACTCTTCTTCTGTGGTGCTTTGGTCATGTGCGTGCGTGCGTGCCTTCTCTTCCCACTGCCTCCTCTCATCATCTGGCCAGCAGAAAGCCTTATCTGGCTACTCCATTTCCTGTGTGAGCCAGGGCCCCCGCTAGGGTACCGGACGCCCTCATTACATCCACAGCCTTGTGGGGGGTGTTTGGGTGGATTGTGTGTGTGTGTATGTGTGTGTGTGTTTTGCAGGGTGGCTCTCTCGGGAACATACACGGGTGTAGTGGAACTTCATTCTAAAGGCAGCTGTTAAAAGCATTTCCACTAGACTCGGGGGGAAGGGGGGAGTTTATGAGTTACAGAGTGCGTTTCTGTGTGTCTGTCTTGTGCTTTAGAGAAAATGTGTGTGTTGTTGTGCTGCCTGTGTTTGTGTGTGTCGAGTCTACTCCCAGGAAGCAGCGGAGTGAGAGAAATTGGGGAATAGGGAGAGAGTGACGTCACTGACTTCCTGTTTTGGTATTGACTCGTGCCAAATGGGACTCGCTGAAGTGAAGCAAAGCCGCTTGGCAACAGCAGTGCTACATTTGTAAATAGATTAGCATGGCATCTGTAATCAGATAGATTCTGGAAAGACGATGTCAAGGGCAGCCATGAATCCTTTTAAAATATAATGATAAAGAAGTGCATTAGCCCTGTCTGCAGGATGGAGGTGTAATCATGACGCTGCAGTAACCCCCCCCCCACTTTCCATAACCTCTTAATAGAGTTTCTTTCTGCTGAGACATTAATACAGTCACCATGTACAGTATGACTCCTCCTGGCTGGAATGCGAATACAATAGACATTATGTCTATACTCAGACATTAATGACCAGTTCCTGTTACGTAGGATCATGATGGTGGTAAGTTAAACATAAAACAAATCCAGTTGTGTGCCAGTAAGCCAGTATGTACAGTACATTTCCCTGGTACTGATGCATTCAAATGAAATGTCGCTATTAATAAAAAAAAGATTTACGCTTGTAATCAACAACCAAAAATATACACCATCAGGATGGGCTATAGCAGTGGTTCTCAACCAGGGATCTGGGGACCTCCAGGGGTCCTTCAGGGAGTCCTAGGAGGTCCCCAGAAACATGGGAAATAGTTTTATTTTCACTATTTAAAGGTCCAGTGTGCAGGATTTAGTGGGATGTATTGTCAGAAGTGGAATATATTGTAATAAGTATGTTTTCTTTAGTGTATAATCACCTGAAAAATAAGAATCACCCGAAAATAAGAATCGGAGCGTTTTCGTTACTTAATGTTAGTTTTTTGAGTAAACATGCTAAAAATTAACTGGTCCTGGCATCTCAGATATAAATAATTTTGGTTTGTGATAGAAAATGGAGTATTTTGGGGTTTTATACTATTGGTCAGACAAAACAAACATTCTGCAGACTTCTCAGTATTTATTATAATGTACTGATCGGTAGTAAATTAGTTAACAAGAGAATGATTTCGGACACAGCTCTGTCTCCCTGTGGCAGCAATTTCTCTCTGACGTCATAGTCCTCTGGGTCATGGTCTCCAACCCTTTTGGACTTATGGACTTGTTTTCAGGGCTGTTTGGCAAAGAACCAACTACAACTTCATCCACCAACTCGCAGCACAGCATGTTCTTACCCCAGTGAACATAATCAATTAGCTATCGACAGTCATTGTCAACACCGCCAATGAACAGCCCCCGACAACAAACTGGATTATGTAACGTCAGCTGTTTATTGTTTAAAATGTCTCACTCAGCATTTGAGAGTGACAAACTGAGGACATAAAGACAGCTGAAGTGGTGTAGATTTAAAAAAAAAAAAAAAGACTAATTCTGTACTTGCTCTGGCTTCTCAGTCGGTTTAGATTCACGTCAGGCAGTTTTAGCCAGAATTAAGTGTTTCAAGAACTTCGAGGAAAATATCTCCTGCCATATCAGATCTGGAGCGAGTCAAGCAAATATTTATGCATCCTCCAGGAATTGAATAAGTCACTCCTCCGCAGCGAGTCGTCCAATGCAGTCTGGTGTGCTATCATGAAAACAAACTGGTTCATCCTCAAATTCCACTCTGGCGGATGTGGCCCCTAGTGCAGAAAAACCAAACAAGACCGGCTTCTCCAGGAACAGAGGGTCACTGCCTGGAGTTGGCAGGCTCTCCTTAAAAGGCTAAGAGAGAAAGAGCAGCTGTCAGACCATTGAAATCTTGGAAACCTGAGTGTACCTGACAGCAATCTGACAGGAAGTTGTCTTTGGCCAACAACGAAGGATTAACGCTTCACAGTGCAACAACAAAGAGCAGACGGCCCACATTTAGTGGAACTTGTGGACTTTGTGTTAAAGGGCGGTACTGCAAAATTTGATTACTCCTCTGATAAAACAGTCCAGAACTTTTTATTACCATAAACAACTTTAAAATAGCGACAAAAACTGGAACACTGACTTTTTAGATCAACAGAACTATAAGCATCCAAGCAAAACTGTTTTTCCGCAGAAGAAGACCTTGTTGACCTTTTCACCAAGAACATTTGTCTGAAGTAGCTCTGGGTTTTATGTCTTGTTGACACTATATATTAGTTTTACTGCAGGTTTTTCTGTAAATAATTCACAATGCACTGCAAAAAGAAACTGTTTTAACTTACAAAAAAATGTGTCCAGGCTGTCTTGAAATTTTAAGTTGACTGAATTTAAGAAGACAAAATGACCTCAACTTGTCTTTGCAAATTCAGTCAACTCAAAACTTTAAGGCTGCCTGAACACTAATCTTTTTATTTTAACTGGGTATTGGCATTTAATACTTTTTAAGGTATCGACCAAAATAACCCAGTACCAAGTAGTAATGAAATTTCTCCAAACGATACCCACATACGAACCTTTTTGTACCCAGATCTAGAATAAAATGGCTATTTCTGTGGTGTTGCTCGCAGCCAGTTACATTCTGATTGGCCCTCTACAGCAGCAGCTACAACCCACACAGTCTGTGGTGTGGTGAAGTTGAGTGCAGTGTATTTGACTGAGTTGTTTTAACAGTTATTTTATCATTTAAAAAAAATGTGTTAGTGTTAAAATCATTTGGATCTTAAGTAGTGGTGGTG